CAGTCATCTTTTACTGAGTAATAAATTACTCCAGAACTTCGTTGTTGAAAATTATATTTTGCAGGTCAGGAATTTGGGCAAGGCTTGGATGAGTAATTTTCCTGCTGTGCGTGGTGTCAAATGGGGTCACTCAATAGTCAGTTGGCAGCTGAGCTGGTATAGAGTCCAAGACAGCTTCACTCACATGCCTGGTGGCTTGGCCAGAATGGCTGGTAAATTGGATTCTTCTGGGAAGTTCTTCTCCGTGTAGTTTCAGGGCCTTTATGATCTTTTCAGCAAGATAACTGAGCATCTTATATGAACTTACACTGTCAATCTTCTGAAAGACTAGACCCAGAATTGGTATGGCATCACTTCTCCCATGCTTCATTGGTCAAAGCAAAGTCCAGTCCAGATTCAAGGAGAGGGGGACATAGAACACATCCCTCAATGGGAAAGCTGTCAAAGAATGTGGGGCCATGTTTAATCCATCACAAGTTTTGTTTTGCACATTTTGATTTTCATTATTTGGGTAATTCTTTTGTCCTAAGATCCGTTGCACCAAGGGTTCCCATTACTTTCTGGAGGTTTGTCATAGCTTGTCTCAGGCATCTAGTGCTGCTCTAACAGAAATACCACAAGTGGATGGCTTCAACAAAGAGAAGTTTATTTCTTCACAGTCCAGTAGGCTACAAGTCCAAATTCAGGGTGTCAGCTCCAGGGGAACGCTTTCTCTGTTGGCTCTGCAGGAAGGGCCATGTCATCAATCTTCCTTTGGTCTGGGAGCTTCTCTGCGCAGAAACCTCAGGTCCAAAGGACGCGCTCTGCTCCCAGCACTGCTTTCTTGGTGGTATGAGGTTCCCATGTGCCTCTGCTTGCGTCTCTTTTATATCTCAAAAGAGACTGTATTAAGACACTATCTAATCTTGTCAACCTCATCAGTATAACCCCATCACAGTGATAGAATTTACAACACATAAGGAGAGCACATATAATGTCATCATAGTCATAGAGTTTACAACACATAAGGAAATCACATCAGATCACACAATCATACAATACTGGGAATCATGACCCAGCCAAGTTGCCACACACATTTCTTGGGGGACACAATTCAAACCATGACAGCTTTCTTGGTTACGTGAGAAATGACCCTATAGTCAGCCCACAACTCTTTTTCTCCCTCTCTGTACCCCTCTGCAAGCACTCATGGGCAATGTTTTTAAAGCAATGCTCCCCAGAGTGTAGTACTGGACCCGGCAGCAGCAGCATCACCTTAATTAAAAACTCTGGGGCTGGGGCCTAGCAGTTTGTGTTTTAACAAGTCCTGTTGGTGGCAGTGGGTTTGGTTTTTCATTTGGCTTGGTGATTCCAATGCATGCTAAAGTTTGAGAATCACTATTCAGAGATGTACATTACTTAATAAAAATTATCATCTGCAGCTAGTCTCACAAGAATTCACAGTGCCTGTAAATAACACGATGGGTTACTTATAGCTTCTGGAGAAACAACAGAATGATGCCAAATAAAGCCTGGTGTAGTGGCTTTCTCTAATTGATGGCCTCTCTCAGTTATCAAAAGCCTCTTCATTTAGGAGAGACTGCTCTTCTTCCACCCATTCAACGGATACTCTCAGCAGAGCCATACCTTATTTCTAAAGAATCTCTTGTAAAAAGAACTTGTATCCTCTCCATCTTAATAATAGGCCCAGTATGCCGCTCAAAAAAACTATTCTCTTAAAGGTAGAATCCCATAATCTCCCTCATAGATAGGTGTTTGCGAGAAAAAATGGGAATTTTTGTCGATTATACAAACAAGAACATGGCATCGGGACTGGAGAAAGACTTGTTAACAACATGCAATATGCATATGAGACAATCTTGCTTGTTGAAAGCAAAGAGGACTTGAAGTACTTACTGATGAAGATAAAGACTACAGCCTTCAGTATGGATTACACCTCAACATAAAGAAATCAAAATATCCTCACAACTGGACCAATAAGCAACATCATGATAAACGGGGAAAATACTGAAGTTGTCAAGGATGTCATTTTACTTGGATCAACAATCAATGTCCATGGAAGCAGCAGTCAAGAAATCAAATGATGTATTGCACTGGCAAATCTGCAAAAGACCAAAAGACCTCTTTAAAGGGTAAAAAAGCAAAGATGTCATTTTGAGGACTAAAGTGTCCCTGACCCAAGCCATGAGATTTTCAATTGCCTCATATGCATGCAAAAGCTGGACAATGAATAAGGAAGACCAAAGAATTGATGTCTTTGAATTATGGTGTCGGCAAAGAATATTGAATATACCATGGACTGCCAGAAAATGAATAAATCTGTCTTGTAAGTACAGCCAGAATGTTCCTCAGAAGCGAGGAGCGTGAGATTTCATCTCACTTACTTTGGACATGTTATCAAGAGGGAGTAATCCTTGGAGAAGGACATCATACTTAGTAGAGAGTCAGTGAAAAAGAGAAAGATCCTCAAGGAGATGGACTGATACAGTGGCTGCAACAATGGGCTTGAACATACCTACCATTGTGAGGATGGCTCAGGACCAGGCAATGTTTCCTTCCGTTACACACAGGGTCACTATGAGTTGGGACTAGATAGCAACTAACAACAACAAAAGGGAATCTCATAATCTCCTTATAGACAGGTGTTCTGTGAAAGAAAATGGGAATTGTTGTTGATTCTATTACATCTTGTTTTCTATTTCCTTAATTTCTGCTTTTATCTTCATTATTTAGTTCTTTGGGTTTATCCTATAGTTCTTATTTTTAGGTTTCTCTAATTTCTTATATAAGCTGCTTTAGCTGTATCCTAAAAGTTTTGGCATGTTGCATTTATCATTCATTTCTAAATATTTTTGACTTTCTGTTGTTTTCATTGGTCCATGAACGTCATGGATTGAACTGTGTTTCCAAACATATGTGTCAACTTGGTTAGGCCATGATTCTCAGTATTGTGTGGTTGTCCCCCATTTTGTGGTTTTCCTATGTGTTATAAATCATAATCTCTGCCTGTGGTTACAGAGGATTAGGGTGGGATGTAACACCCTTGCTCAGGTCACATCCCTGATCCAATGCAAAGGGAGTTTCCCTGGGGTGTGGCCTGCACCACCTTTTATCTTACAAGAAATGAAAGGGAAGCAAGCAGAGGGTTGGGGACCTCACACCACCAAGAAAGCAGTGCCGGAGCAGAGCGTGTCCTTTGGACCTGGGGTTCCTGCTCGGAAAAGTTCCTAGTCCAGGGGAAGATTGATGACAAGGACTTTCTTCCAGAGCCAACACAGAGAGAAAGCCTTCCCCTGGAGTTGATGCCCTGAATTTGGACTTCCAGCCTGGAAGACTGTGAGAAAATAAATTTCTTTTTTAAGCCACTTGTGGTATTTCTGTTATAGCAGCACTAGTTGACTGAGACAATGAATTAGAGGTCTGTTTGTGTTTTTAAATTTCTGCAAGTATAGGGTTTTTTTCCTAATACATTTTCACTATTTTTAATAATCAGAAAATATGAAGTGAAATATCAAGAATCAGAAAGCTTTTTTGTAAAGAGCCAGATAAAAAATATTTTAGGCTTTGCAGGCAATACGGTCCCCAGTGTAAGTACTCAACTCTGCCATTGCAGCACTAAAGCAGGTAAAAACTATACGTGAATGAGTGCAGCTAAGTTGCAATAAAACTTTATTTACTAAAACAGGCAGCTAGCCAGATTCGACCTATGGGCCATAGTATACTAAATGCTAATTCTTTGGTAATTGTTGAGACATGCTGTTACCTAGTACATGAAATTTTGTAATGTTCCATGAATGCCTGAAAAACAATTAATCTTATCCCACGCTTACTTGTACTTCTTTAAGGTTCAGGCCTGGCCCAGGTAAATATTTGCTTTTATCTTGACACAGTGATCAAGAGATTGGGCTTTTGGAATCAGAGAGACCCAGGGCACTTACCACTGGGTGACCTGGGGCAAACTACTTAACCTCTCTAATCCTCGGTTTCCTCATCTATAAGGTGGATAAAATAATAGTACCTACCTCATGGGGTTGACATAAGGATTCAATAAGATGATTATGTAAAGCACCTAGCAGAATGCCAGGTAGGCTTCAATCATTATTAGTAGTATTAGGTCCAATCATCATGTCATTGAATCAGGCAGGTATAATTATACCAGTTTTACAATCAAAGAAACTAAGGCACAGAGAGGTTCAGATTAACCTGTCCAAAATCTCATAGCCAGTATCAAAGCAACGATTCTCACCCGGAACTATTTCCAAATGCAATGTTTCCCATACTCAGGCTCTGATTAATATCCAGTGACACTAACATGCGAGGACTTTACTCTATGCCATTCCTAGGCGAGGCTGCATTTTAAGAGAAAGGGTTGTGAAACCCACAAGAATTAATTCCTAGTAGTGCAAGTTTAGTCCTTTACGAGGAAAAGAGATGCTTCAGTAAACTCAAACGGGCTTAAGGAGCAGTAAGTAACCACCAGATTTTGGAAGCAGGGTGATGAGGCTTATAACACGTACTGCCTCTAAGGCAGCACTGTCACCCAGCGGAGCTCCCAGGCTCCTCGGCATCGATGACAATGCCGTCGTCCCACCAGGAAGCACCACGGCAGGGCTGCCCTCTTCCTTCTCCACCGCCCGAAGCGCCTGGCGCCTAAAAATACCACCCTAGCTCAACTGCCGGAACATGCCTTCGGCTTTTTACAAAACGAGGCCGTCATCACTTGGAACCACAAAAATCAGAGCCCTGGCCTTCTGCTGATTCAGCGGGTGACGCGCCGCTGACAATGGCGACGAATTTTGCCCTCACGATGACCATGAATTTATTTTTTCTTTTTACCCTCCGCTTGGCGCAGATCGTAACGTGAGGACCCCGAGCAGTGGGGGAAGCTCCATTTCTCTCAGCCCAGACTAAACCCGGGGCTCTTCAAAGTCATATCCTGTGACAATCACACGGGTTTTCTCCGCCCGGCAGCTGACGGAAAACTCGTGACTGTCTTTCAGCTCCGACGTGAGCGCGGGGCGGGCAAGGAGAAGTGGGGGGCGGAGCTCCAAGTACCCGACTCGCAGGAAGCCCCCGACGGGCAACGCCTGCGCAGTCTCTCGCCACGGGACCTCCTTCCCGCCGCCGAGACTAGGAAGCGGGACACCAAATCCGTCCCCGCGCAGCCGCCGCCGCCCGGCGCC